ATGAAATTTATTCGCTGAATTCAATAGCTGCAAAGTTAATCAAATTCTATAGTTCAATATCTGTCTCTGACGTTTAGCTCAGACTCTTTCTAAGCATTTCCTACCTTCCAATGGATCCTTTTACAGTCTGCTCGCAAAATTGGATGCACCTTACACCATGTGCTTTACCTTGTATTTTTTTTAAACACGTAAGACATTTATTTGTTTAAAGGTTTTATATGGAGTATCAATATTTAAAAAAGTTAGTATTTTCGTAGGTTGTATAGGTTTTTTTTTTCATGGTTTCGAACTTTTTATAACAGGTTCTAATCTTTTAAGCCAACAATAAACTACAATACAAATGTAACTAATATACAATTTTCGGCAACGTTTAATAAATGTTTGGTAATGTTAAATAAATATTGATAATATGATTTTATAACAAGAAAATATGCGAAGTGTGTATTTGTAGTAAGCGGAGACGTAGTGGGTCGAGATTGCCTCGGAGGAATATTTTACTAGCAATATTCCTCATTTTATTCAAAATAAATTTACAAAAGATTTGAAAAAAATAAATAAAAAGAAAATGGTGATATTCGTTTTGTTTTCAGCAAATCTTTTCATTTATAATAATTTTGTGGAAAAATAAGCAATTACTACAAGGATTATAATCAAATATAATAATAACAAATATTATATGTATATAAAAGTAAGCAAGAAATATTCATGACAAAACAAATTGAAATATATTTTGTTTTTTATCAATAATAACAATTATTTTCTATCAATAATAACAAGAACAAATTCATTTTTTTTTCATTAGGTTTGGTCATATATATATATATTTGAAAATACTGAAACAAAATTTAGAGCCATGTCTATTTTAGCCACGCCCGATGAAGGATTACTAACCAGGCGTTACTCTTATCGGATTCGATCGTAAGATATATTTCGTTGATAGGGTAGTTTGATCCACATTAATTATATATATATATCGTTTAAATGGAACTAATATTTTTCGAATGTACTACGCGATTTTTATTTTATCAAAAACTACATACTCCCGACGTTACTTTATGTCGGGAAGCTCGCGAAAATCTTAGAACTCATTATATATATAACGTCCTTACTTATATCCTTACTAACTTTTATTTGTAATTCAGAAAAATATAACGAGTTTTTAATAATTAAATGTTTAATAATATTATGCACTGTTGGACTATGGTCTGGGTACGTAAGTCAATGTTTATCTAAGCCATTCAAAAGCCTGATCTTCAAATTTAACGAAAGTAATGAATTATGAGCTTCGAGTTGTTGTAAAGTAATATTAAATAATATTGAACCAGTCTCCATTGATTAGAGAATAGATTTTCTTTCGTGATTTATAATTGTTGTCTTTTCACATCTGGAAAATGTTAATTTATGTTTGAAAATGTTAACTTCATGCGTCAGCCATTTCTCGAGCTTATACACTTTTCCGATTTGCTTCGAGTGAATAAATATTATTTTTACACTCACATCACAGTCTCTTACTTGGTTTTTAATGGATTTACCTAAATTTTCATCTTTAAATATACATATCAAGCAAGAGGATTCAATCATTGGAAGTAACTCATAATATAGAGGTTGAAAGAGAACATTATTCATCACTACGGTACACTATCTATCTGACTTCGAACGTGTTTATATTTGTGCCAAGTCACCTAATTATATCAGTCAGTGACTTAAATTGTTAGATGAATTTAATCTTAGATTTTCTAAGCTAAATGAATGGTTTTTAACCATAATAAATTTCATAAAACTCAACATAGAATGTTAATGATACGATTACAAGCTAAGATAAGATCCAACTCATTCTGCAAAAATCACGCAACTATCTTTGAATTTATTTGTAATTCAGATAAAGTCAAGTTGAGAATATATTTTAAAAGGTATCTATTGATTTAATATTCGAAAATTTTAGTAAAACTTCTTAGAGCAGTACTTACCTATTAAATGTTCGTAGAATTTGCGATGAATAATATTACTGGTTGTGGGTAAATTGTTGTACGCAAATGCAATACAATATTCAGCTTAAATATGCTGCTGAGTCACAATGACTTAGTGGTATTAGTTATGTGAGCCATTAGGGTGAAGGTTGTAGGGGTTGAATATATCATAACAGGTATCGGTTCGATGTTATAAAATCGATTAAGCTGTGTTTGCAACTTAAATACATTATTGGAATAATATTCGGAAATATTTTATAGTTCGAAAATATTTTATAGAAGTATTTAATTGTTTGGAAATTTTTTATAGGGTATTTCTTTGTGAAAATGCATTGGCTAACAATTAATTTAATCCAATGATAATATCTCATCTTGCTTAAGAGATTTCTGTGCAAGCCTCTTTTTATTTAGGTATAGTTAAAATCACATAAGTATTAAAAAAATCGTTCTTCTTCTTATATGATTTCTTTGGTCCATATAAAAATACTATAGTACAGCATTTTTCTAACAATATAGTTTCTCTACGAAAAATTAACATGTAATCATTCATATAGTTATAATAATAATTAGTAGTTCAGTGAATCGCAATTGATCGATGATAGCCCTGATGTAGATGTCAATCAAATGTATCGAATTAATTTGAATGACAAAACCATATAACATCAAAAACACAAGGAATAGAATAAAATAAAACTTAATTATAATAGCTTTAAAGTACAAATTTCAGTGTATAGATGTATATTCCTTCTTTTGTGAAAAATGACGTGTAATTGACTAAATAATAATCAAATAATTACAATACCTCGCCTTCATTTGATTTGAATTTCTGTCCGATACATTGGTTGAGAAAATTAAAAATATTAGCATACTTACATATGGTACAGAGAATCACATTTACTACCCTATATTTTTATTATATTTTTTTCAACTTTTCTATTAAGCTTTCTTATCTTTATTTATAGATAAGAGTAATCACATATTTGATAAACATTGTTTCTTGATAATAACACCCCTATCTACCTACCTAATTTCCACTGTTGTATATAATTTACAAAATGTATTAGAAGAAAAGAGGTAAGCCTTACAAACATTCTTATAAAAAGCCACTTCATACACGAACCCCTCTTAATACAAGTATAAATAATGTAACGGCAAAAATTTTAACATACCAACCAACTGTTACAATTTTTCAAAATAATTCCATCTCAAATAAAACACGGGTGGAATTTAATTTCAGTCCTCGACTCGAGAGAACTCCAAACAAATGTTAATCGAAATTTTTCGTCCAAAATTACTGAATGACAACATCGACTTATTATATTGGAATCTACGAAATCTGTTTATTAATCATATTTTTATTTACAAATATTTATATATTAAAAATGCTTTATATTCCCAAATACTTATATTCTATAGTATATGGGGTTTCAAGTTTGCTATATAACCGACGTTCTTTGCACCTCCGCCGCAGACAGAGTTTATTAGCTTGATGTTCACGATGCAAGCGGCGAGCGTCAATCGATGTTACCATGGCAACCTTCCGGGAGAGATATTTATATCACCCAGTTAGACTTCAGTCCGTATCTTTACAAACAGTTAATTGAATTGCTTATAAAATGTTACTTACAATGTATTTTTATTAATGTAATAATATAATATATAGATTATAGGATTCTTCTTAATGTTGATAGTAAATAGGACAGCGTAATAATTATGCGGGAGGGGCAAACTAATGATAAAAATGAGGTGACATCACAGACTTTTAAAATAAAAAAAATACAGACGAGGTACAACTCGTAAAAGGCATGACAATCTATGTAATAATATTGCAGTTCATTTGTAATAGTAATATGAACATACTTTTATTGATATGAGAAATTATTGTTATAATCACAATTATTTTGTTATTTCATTGATAAAACAACAAAACAATCTATATATTCCCTTAGCTTTTCAGAAATAAATGAACCAAAACCAATCTTTTGGATTCATATAAAATCCATACAAGAGAAAATAACGTAAAGAAAAAACTATGAATGAAATGTTGAAAAGCTGTCAATACATCTTTCTTAAATATTAAAAACGAAGAAATTATTTCTTTGAAATTCAATTAAAAGATGTGTACAAATTGAATGTTGCACTACAATGTCTTGTTTTTAAAACTTCCCGCCATTTATATATATTTTTAAAATATTTTTTCAGCCTTGGATTCCCACCAAAATCGAATGCATATGTAAATTGCCACTCTAAAAACTATTTTGTTGAAGATAACCTGTATAATACTTGTATTTTAAATGTACTATTTTAAACTTTCATTGATTGTATACAAAACTGTTATAATAAATTTATATATCTTTTTAAATAATAAATATATAATCTGCATAAAATTTACCATTTATAGAAAAGTCATAATTATTTTTTATAATAGCAACACAGCAAAAGTGCACGTCATGACTTCGGTAGTGTGAGTGCTTTTCGTGTGCGTACGTCTATGATTACTATGGCTGTATATTGTAGTGTTTGTATGTATATCTGACGCCGTTGTGAGTTGTCTGACATTTCTCTAATTTTGGATTTTATAACTAAAAAATATCAAACTGTCGTCTTCAGGTACGTTTAATGTAGTGCAACTGTCTTATTAAAGAATGTTTCTTCGAAATTTCGACAAATAGTATTTAGTTGTTCCCTTAACCTGTTTGACAGGCGTTGTCTTGAATCCTTACAACGATCTATATTGTGCATGTAGATAAATTTGAATATTATGTTTAATGACTAGCTCTCTATAACTGGCTGTTATCTTTAAGATTCTTATCAAGTGATTTCTATGAATAATGCATATATCTCGGTGCTGGGATAGACGGTGACAACGTTGTTAGGGTTTGGCCGTAGCTACTCAGTCAGTCGGCTTTACGGTGCCGGTTTGTGCGCTAGTGTCCATTCAAATAATATGATAAAATGGTAGGGCTGTGTCTGTACCCTTGTTTTGTGATATGTGAAGTGCGCTAAGTGATTGTTTTGTTGCAGGCCGGCAGAATGCTAAAGTTTATACGAGGGAAGGGCCAGCAGCCCTCTGCAGAGAGACAGAAGCTGCAAAATGAACTATTCGCCTTCCGTAAGGTAAGTGACGATGTTGTAAATATTTTATAATAACAAACAGTAAGATTATTAGGCTCATTACTTCTTATAAACAGTCCAAGTAAAATTCACAGTCAATAAATAGTATATTAAAGCAATTATCACAATTTACATGCTTATACACTAATTGTGTTTAGCATATAAAAATGATATCAATTTCTGTAATTAAAATAAGCACACAAACATTATGTTTGTGTATGAATATAATTTTATTAAATAATAAACATAGCTATATCCAACTCAGTGTTCATTCATTTCAATATAAGAGGACTATGATACTTAATGTTCATTATCATTTAGAAATAGATTACATACAAGGCATATAATCTATTATTGATTAATGCAAAGAACATTTTAATACTTAATATTATGGTCATATTTTACATATAAGGCTGTGCTTATATACTTGTGTATTCTTCGTTTCTTTTTTTGTTTTGAAATTATTTAATTTAAAAATGGAATCATATATAGTCAAAATTATTGATATTACATAAATTCATAATGATATATATATAAATATATATTATGTGGAATAATATGTTAGTTTATTAAAATCATTAACCTGGATAGTTGACCACTATCTTATCACTTCGAGCCCTGTGTATTTACTTTAAGATTAGATTGGTTGCTTTTCAGTACCGGTTTATTATTCCTTAAAAATTGGATCATGGTCATAGAATGTTTACTAGGATTGATTAACGAGCCCTAACTATTAATGTGTTCAAGTTGATATAACTAATCTATGAGGTTTCTTCAAAAATCACTTACATGTTTATTCATATTTTTTCATATATCCAACATTATAGTGTTTTTCTATAAAGCCATTTATATAAGCTCCAATATTTAACAATTATTGAAGATCAGGCAGTATGTAAGCCATTATCTGGCAGTAAGTATTAGTTAAGCCAACAACGTTGTATATAAAAAATTATAAATAAGACTATAAAATTAATAGTAAATGATAGTATGGCTGATTAATAGATGAAGCTATAGAAAGACATTGTGTTATTTCTCTGAAATATATTGAAAATGTTGTATATTTACCATTTATTTTAAGATTGTTTTCAATTCCGTCCCACATTGCCAGATTTTGAATTAAAAATATTTGTCTAACACATTTCTGGAATTAAAGACAAAAACTAAACTTTGGAATAATTTCAAATATATTTATGCTAAAAATAATTACTTTCCAATCAATAGAAAGCATTATTTTTTTAGATAATCATACAATTTCTGTATTCTACAGCAATTAAATTCTTCTTTCTATTTAAAAAACCTGTTTTTATGATGTATACCTTTGATTATTTTTAACTCAATTTTCCTACAAAAATGTAACAGTTTACATAGTGCAACATATGCAAGTATTTCATCATTTTAACAACTCAAATTTAGCAAACTTAAGTATAATCTGTGCATTAATATAAAATTGCAAGTGATTTCTGCATAATCTGTGGCATTTTGCAAAATAAGCAAATATTTACAAATAAAAGATGAAAAGTTAATTTAATTGTTACATTATTGAAATAATAAATATGGAATATTTATAAATATAAACTAGAGCAGATGAAATTGACAATTCATGTAGCCCTATTCTTAAAGAGAATTTCCCTTCAATCACAAGCATATGGAAGTCGGAATAATTTATGTTATTTAAACATTAGCGTCTTATTTCGCATCTTAATATAATTTTCAATTGTGTTTTTATAAGATATCTCTGGCTCGCCCACGGGACGCGTCTGAGCGTGATGCCACCGTTCCATATAGATTGCAGGCAAGGTCGCCACAGTTTCAATTTGTCAATAATTTAACGAACTACAAGTGGATGAATCAAAACTATGAGAGCCTTTTAATAATAACCTCAGCTCTTCAATCGATATTTCTTATATAAAAATTTATGACTGGTGAATGATAATTCCTATTTGAAATACTACTATATAAAAAAGTTTCGATGAATCTATATTAAATAGCACTTGTAAATTCGCTTAAGAAAATTTCTCTTTCATTTCAGAAGTAATGTTCTTTACGCTTAGTCTAAGTTTGCATCACACTACATACGCAGCGTTAACAGTTTTTCTTAATTTCAAGGAAGGTTATTAAATCAGAAAACAGCAAATTCGAACGTATTTTGATTGAGCAAACTTGTGCTAAGCATTCTGATGTTATTGAACTACGATAGGAAAATATTTAACTGCGGTTTCCAATTTAGACTCATGCAAAAAATTGTCATACTTATTTATAGAAAGGTTAAAATTATATATAATATTAGAAATATTGCTTAAGTCTGTCTAAAGAGCATATTTAGAGAAAAATATTTCTTTTAAAGCGGTTTTTTTTTGCAATTCAAAAAACCAAATTACGATTCTAAAGTTTCTGAACTGAATGCATGTTTATAGCAAAATCACCTTCGAACCTAAATAGATTTTGCTAGTGTTTAATAGACTGAGATTGAAATAATTATTAAAGTTACATGAAGATAGTTAATCTTTTGTATAATATTGATTGTTTTCATATAATACATGTATTTAACAAAGACCATATCTCTTTTATCTTCGATTATATTATCGAGCTTGCGAAACAAAATTTCTATTAAAATTACTTGGATTGAATATAAAATATTCCATACACTTTAATACCAACAATTGTATTGCAATATTTCAAAGGTTTGTCATTGTATCATGGTTCTTGGGTTCGATTCCCCGACGTGACCAAAATTTTTATGGGTTGTACTTAATAAAAAGCGTAAATTGTTTGACGCTGTGCAATCATTGAAGCAGTTTATATGTTCATACTAATATATGGAATATCCAGAGTGTAATATGCAATGAATTTTGACAAAACATTGTATAAATTGAATCGATTTTGAAGTGTTCGCTACATAGCTTATCGGTCGCCGCCGATAAGGATATCATATCAGTCAATCGATTCGGAGCCTGATATTTTTTAGGTGTTATTATGTTTGCTTTTATATTAAACTATCCTTCGTTCAATAATTTCCATCGAGTCTACATTTTTATAAAGGAACTAGCTTTGCGCCCGCGTAGAGTTAGGTTATATCGCGTTTCCAAGAGAACTTTTCAAAAGTCTGGGATAAAAACTATCCTATGTTCTTTCTCAAGGTCAACTCTATCTCTGTAACAAATTTCATTAAAATCAGTTCAGTGGTTTATGCGTGAAAGCGTAACAGACAGACAGAGTTACTTTCGCATTTATAATATTAGTAGGGATTAGTAATACATTTTTCTCCATGATTTTGCAACTATTTTGGCTACTATGGGCTATAACATGACGTAACGCAGTTAATAGCATTGCAATATGAATGAGTTACCGCTGAAAAATAAATTCAAATACTACCATTCGTTTATGAGATTGTAGCCTTCAAACAAAGGAACAAATTATATAGATTTATTTTTAAACAAATAAAGTATCTTATATGTTTGTATAGCTCGTTACAAAGAAATAGTTGAGTGTTGTTAAAATTTATCGCATTGTTATCATTAAGACTATTAATCGCCACACCCGACCCAGCCCGTGCTGTTAATTTGTAAGCTTATGATATACTAAATACATTGTTAGGTACAGATATATATTTATGTTAATATAATAGTTAGACATTTATATTTTTAAAATATATCTATACGTCTTTTTTTAATTCCACGTCTAAATCTAATTAATCGAATTCTTCAAAATGTTAATATCCAATTTTTTTAACAATATTATTAAATTAAATGAAGAATTTTTTTTTCGCTGTGATAAATTTACGAGGAACCTCAGCAATATGAGTCTGGAATGATATGCCAATAATAATCAATTTCGGTTTCCTACAAATAATATTACGAAATGTATGCTAATTTGAAGCCAATAGATTTAGTTACAAAACGCATTATTGATTGTCATTATTACTGGCTAGCTGCTTCCAAAAAAAAAGTACATATGTTTTTTAGTATTAGAGTAATAATATAAAGAAACATTCACTCATACAACTGTCCATTCAAATCAGCCTGTATAATAAGTTTTAAACCTGCTGCTACATTTTTTTACACTTAAATTATTTTCCCCCGTAACTATACAGTTCTATTTATAATATAATAGCATATTATAACGAAATGTAAATTTTTAGCTGAAGTAGAAAATTTTTCGTTTTTGCAAATGATTATGGATTATTGCCAGTAGATTGATTTATTCTCGATGCTCGAGACATATACATATAATAGAGCTTTTCTACGTTTTTTATAACATTCTCAGTTAAGTAATTCTGCTCTGATATATTTCTAAATTCATACTCTACACAAGTTTATGTAATTGTCCTATAATTATAGATATTCTATTAGTATTCTATAAAAAATTATATTCTTTACAAAAAAGACAATTAATTCATTTCACGCAATATAATAACGAGAGGGAATTGTTTTAACATTTTTATTTTTACTAGCAGCTTCTGTGAGTTATAATTTGGGACTGTGTTATGATAATTACGGTGTATTAAACACTTTAGTTACTACTGAAGGTACGTAGGAATTATCTTATACACTAGAGTTAGGTATTATAGTTACATGATTAAGTAAAAAACGAAAAAAAATATCTTAAAATTCTCATTTTATTACAGATCCTTTTAGTGATTACTATTAAAACGGCAAAATGGTGTCATATTTAGAAAATATTTTTATTGTTTATTTATGCAGAGTCTGGACACATAATGCTTACATTAATCTCGTGATATTAATAAAATTATTAAGTTAGAAAAAACAACAATATAACGATTATACAAATATACTTAAACTCTGCTTTAAGTGCTAAAATAACAATCTTATTTGTTTTTTATTCCGAAAAATCTTACAGGATTTACAATTCTAGGTATTGTATAGTGATTCATACAACTTTTATTAAATAACAATATTTTACATAAATAACAATCTTTTTATCTTAACAACATACAATTACTTCAATCTCACCAACACACTATCTTCGAAGCCTTGTTACTATAT